GGAATAACAGGGGACAACTGCAGCAGTTTCTTCTCCATTGGAGGAGGAAGGTTATCACAATAATCTTTTACCTGTTGGCAAGAAGGCTTGGAGCCCCAGGAGCACAGCAGTACAATACAGCTGGGTGAAAAAGAGTGAAAAGTTTCCTGGAGAAAAATTATAACATTTCAAAGTTGTTTCCATTTCACAGCATTCCTAATGAGCCCATTTTCCAGTTAATTTGCAGTGACGTTTTGGACTGAACATTTTAACTGAATACTCTCTTAAAACATCTCATTAAAAAGCCAATGATTTTTAGTAAGGAAGTGGCAATTTTCATGCATTTAGGCTTTAAAAACTATGGTTTTTAGTGACTTTTTTGAGAAAAATGGGCAATATTTCATTTAAGATAATTTTTACAGGCGCATAAATCTGTGTGGGAAGATTCCTATCTATTTTACACCTTTGCCTCCAGCCCTTCTGCTGCCCCCTCTTCTCAGTTTCCAGACTACCAGGTGGTGAAGCTGCATAAGAAGGGGGGAGCAACACAGTGTGCTGTTAGCAGAGGAAGGGGGAGTTACACTCTTCCATCATCCTATTTGCAGTAATGCCTAAATGAAAGTTTCTGTTTTTCTCAAAACTCCTTGAGAAAACTACCTAGTACAGCAGTTGGATTAAAACATATTGGTCACTTGAAGGTGCAAGTCATCAGGATGTAGACTTTACTGGTAGCTAAAAGGCTGTAATCTGCCGGAAGCTACATATTGCATTTTATATTTTTATAACAATTGTGTCATCTGGAAGAATAGGCTCTTTCACCTAACTCGCTTCACCTTTGTATTTTTATTGATAGGGCTTATCTACACATGCAATAAATTCAAAGCAGTAAACTCCTGTCCTTAATTCACTGGAGTTTATTGCTCCTGGGCGCACTGTTTGAACATGCACCTGGGACTGCAGCATGTTGAGCTGGGTTGGAGCATCCCTGGCTGACAGAGGGCTCAGGAGGTCCGCCTGCCAGCCTGCGGCTGCTCCAGCCTGGCTTAACATGCTGTGGAGGGGCTGGCTGGGTCATGAGGTGCTCTATTGCAGGGCTAGCCATAGACAGCCCCTGTGTTGAAGCACTCTTGTGCCCCAGCCGGCCATGTCAGTGTCTACATGTACGCTGCAGTAGAATTTATTAATTTACTCCAGCCTAATAGCGCTGGGCATGTAGATGCTGAGACATTTACTGCGGAGCCAATTAGTCTACTCCTCAGCAAACATCTGGTATAGAGGTGCCCACAGAGTAGTATGCTCCTAGCCCAGCTTGTGTTGGAAGCTGTGTAATATCATCAGGCTAGTGTGACTGATGAGCATGGCATGATAGGCAAGCTTATTGGCAGTTTATGGATAAACATGCTACTGAACCTTGACTGGTCATAAAACACTGGGCCATCATTTTAGCTGGTTGGTGTGATCTCCTAATATTTACCCACATTAAGGTGAAGAAAATATTCCATTCAGCTGAGCTGTACCCTGGCATCTTTCACAAGCATTACTGTATGTTTCAAAACCTCCTTCCAGAATACATTGTCTTAGTTTATCTGGCTACAGTCTATATTCTGTAACATGCATCTAATATTACGGTTCTTAAGCGGCAAAACAAATTCTGTACTGTACTGTCTCTTAGCAACATCATTTTAGGAGGTGATCTTCTTTTTAGATATTAGCAATAAGCTTGTCAGACTTTGTGATTAATAAAGAATGCCTTCCTGTTACTCATTTTGTGCCCCTGGAAAAAAAAATGTCCCAAGATGCCATTTTCTTGCTTATGTTAAAAAGCAGCTGTACATCTTTTAATGGAGATCAGATGGATGTTCCTGGGAACACTGAGAAGTTTGAATTGCAGTGCTTTCAATTTGTCAGTTACCTTAGCTGGAGCTTGACTAGAACTTGCCACCTACACCAGAGCTGTTTGACCTCTTCAAGGAGGCTAGTGAAGGTGACATTCTTCATTCTATTGTTTATGGTTATAATAACAAGGCAGTTTCTAGGTAGCATAAGATAACAGCTTGCAGCCTTGAAATAGGCATTTTACCAGGTGACCAGTGTTTGCTTTTACATGTGGAAAATCAAATTGAACACTTGAATTGAAGGTCAGATTCTGATCCAGCTGAAATCAGTGAATTTTTCCAAGATTTGGACTGACATGCAATGTCTAATGTGTTTAGGATTCTGACTCTTTAATGTGGTTTGATTAATCCATAGTGATAGATGCATTCAGAGGTCTTTACACAATGCCTGTTGTAAGTTAAAGATCAATCAGATGCATGCACTTCCTGGCATGCAGCCTAAACCTAGGGTTGAGTAGCATCTGTTGCTAGTGCTATTCCTTGCTCCCTTTCAGATCAGTTGCAAGAGACTTTGAGGTCTGACTTTTTTGTATCAGCTGCTCAAAAGAAAGCAGGAATTAGTGCATAATAATGGTATAATCCTATTAATAACAGTATTCTTAAATTATGCAATTCTGCCTATTGGATACGAATCCAAGACTCTAAGATCAAACATAAAGCAAACAACATTTTACACAGAACTAGAAACCCTACACCATGCTTGTACCAGCTGTCCATTCGCATAATAATTATTGCACTTAATAGCTACAAAAGTCAAGGAATAATAGTTCAACAGAACCCCAGCATGTTCTCATACTATTGGCTTGCCCTTAACATACTTACATCTATAACACTTGGGCAAAATGCTTAGAAAACCAATAGGATGGCAATAAGAACTGAGGTCAAGGGACTTTTACTGATGGGTTTCATGGGTTTTGAAGCATGGAGTTATTGCCTGGTGGAGGGGAGGGTGCGTAGAGGGGAAGGGAGTGTGTGTACCTGCATGTTCATCCATTTGGAAAAATGTCTGTTCTTAACCAGTGAAAAGGACCTAGATCAGCAGTTTCCAAACTAGTGGTTTACAGCAGTGTTTCTCAACCATTTTCCCACCAGGACCCAATGGTAAAGATCCATGGCCTGTCCCAGCTCACGCCCTCCTGGCCCTGCTGGTGCCTGACCCACAGCCCCTCTGCTGCCCCCCAGCCCGGCTGGAGGAGGCTTCCAGCTGCTGCCGTCCTGCTTGGGCCAGAGCGTGGTGGTTGCCGTGACTCGGGCTCATGCAGGCAGCAGCAGAGTGAGTCCGGCCCCAGCATGGGCCGGAGGGAAGAGGAAGAGAGGCCTGTGGCAGCCTCCCTGCCCTGGGCCAAGGCTGCTATGCCATGCTAGGCAGCCTGGTCATGGCCCCACCTGCCTCCCGAGTAGTGTCTCCCACCCCCCCTTCCCCTGTGAGCATGGGCACTGGCCCTGGTTCCACCAGCCCAGCCATACAGCTCTCTCCTACTTCCTTCCCTCTCTTGCTGCCCCTCTGCCCTGCCACAGCTTGTGACCCTTCAAAATATTTTTGCGACCCACAGGGTGAGAAACACTGGTTTACAGCACTTAGCAAGTAGGGTTACAGGCCCTACAGATGTTCATGGGGCCTGACCCAGAAGATGATCACAAGTTAAAAAGTAGCGTTACCATGGAAACTAGATTGGGAACTGCTAACCTGGATGATGGTTCCCTTTGTAGATTTACAGAGTAATACTAATAGACATACTAATGAAGATTTGCTAAAACACACACACATAGAGAGATGGATACTCTTACAGTTTTGTTCATGAAAATCTCTTGCAGTAATTTAAATGCAAAAACGAGCCATTTTGGGTACAGAAATACATGAATGCTTTGTATTTTGAAATCAACTAGATTATACTTACAGTACTTCCCCCTTACTCCAAAATCAAATGAGGCTTCAACTGAAGAATCATACTCAATTATGTGTTGTTTGGTTTGGTTTGTTTGTTTGTTTTTGTAATAAAACTCTTTCCAAAAGAATTTTTAAAATAAGCTCTTAACTATCTGGCATTTCAAATTGGTGTGTTTTGCTTGTTTTTGTTTTTGTCCTACTATTCCCAACACCTCTAACTAAGATTTATTTTTTCTTGCCCTGCTTGGACTTTAACAGTACAAGGGACTAAAGTTCTTGTGTTAGTCACTGAACAAGTATACAAGCATGCAGGCACACCTAGGGCACTGATGCTCAACCATGGAACCAAGACACCTGGTGCTGCCAGATCCTTTGAAAGATGATGAGCTGGGAGGTGATGAGATAAGCACAGGCTCAGGCTTGTCCCAGCCTGAGCATTCCTCCACTCTCACTGCCCAGCCCCTCTGCAAGGATGTCAGCACTGAACTATATGCATTAGCTTTTGAAATTGGGTGCTGCTCTATTCACAAAAATTTATGGTACCTTGAGTCCACAAAGGTTGAGAAGCACTGCTGTAGGGTTAGGGCAAACTTCCTAACTAGTGTCTCTAGCCAAGAGAAGTTCAGTTTCCATACCCCCACAGGCTGAGCAGGGTGCCAAATTAGTAAGAGGTTGGCTTCTTTATGTGCAAGGGCTGTAACTGCTGTTCAGCAATTAGCAACATTATTTAAAGACTCTATCAAATGCCAGTACCTTTGCTCACAGTATTCTTAACTAGTCAAGTTGTCTAAAATTTATTTTGCAACTTGAATGGTGGCGTGGCAGTGCATTGATTATAGTTGACATCAGGCAGTTGCCAACAGACTTTAGACAATGACTCGAGCAGACATGTAATGGAGAATTCAGTATCCTGGGGTTTAAAACATTGGCTCTTTTATTGTAGAAAAATGGCAGTAATATTCCTCATTTCTTACTCTAGGTTGAATTGTAGAACATTTTTTAGAGTTAAATTGGGAGAAAAATGTGATATTAAATTTAAAACAGTAAATTTATTATCTACTTTGATTTGTCAAATTTGATGCAGATAAGCACCTAAAAATATCTTACTAATTGAAGGAAACAAAACCCCTTTCAACATAATTCTTTAACATCTAAACAGTTTGTTATGCTGGCAGCTTTTAAAATGAATCATGCAAAAAAAAATCTTACTTTAATAAAAAATCTTTTTTATTACAGAAAAATGCCAAAGGGCAGGATTTGTTTGACCAAATTGTATATCACTTGGACCTTGTGGAAACAGATTACTTTGGCCTACAGTTCATGGATGCCTCCCAGGTTACAGTATGTATAACTTTTTTATGTTTATAATTATTTATAATGGATGAAAGTCTGTAGAGGAATTGAGAAATTAATTGTATAATGAAAATTAGTTGGCTGTTGGTTGGCAATTCCTGCACTAAATGTCAGGTTCTTGAAAAAGTGGCACATGCCATTTCACATATTCACTTGACTATATGTATTTAGTCATAAAAATGACCAATGAAGCACTGCTTCTGTATGTGGGGTGGGGCAGGGGAGGATGGAAGGGGGAAGATGCTTACTGTTTGGCAGGCCTATAGTATTAAAAATGCCTTTACAACAATCTTGGTCTCCCAGTACACCAGGGCCTCTTGTAACAGCTACCCTGCTCTCAGTATTGCTCTTAAGCAGTTGAT